TTCGATTTGGGACTTAACCATTTCTGGTCAGATTCGAGGAGAACCAAATACGACACAAGGGTGCGGGAAGCCTAGGGTTTATTTGGTGACACTTTTGAACAGGTCTGGGTAAGTTCAGGTTTTACTCGAATCTTCATTCGAATCTTCAAATGAAGATTCGAGCAGTTCCAGTAGGATTCGAGCCATGCAACTAACAGATCCGTGATGAGGGTATCTAGGGGAGGTTGTGGTGTTATTTTGGAGGCCATCGGAGAAGATAAGGTTTTCAGGCCAACCTTCGATTTAAGATTCGAAGAGTTGGGGCCTGATTCGAAGGAAACCAATGTTAGATCTGTGTAGAGGATGTTCAGGGGATTCTAAGGTGTTATTTTGTTGGTCATTGCGACCTTTTAGTGTGTGGCCTGGAGGCTCGTTTAGCTGGCGACAATGGCTCTTACGCTTTTTCCTGTGGGCATATTGTAGGATTTGTTTTCCTCTCATTAAGGTCTTTTTGAAATAATTTTTCCTGACACGTCGTCGGTTCGGGAAGAACCTCAATTTCAAGTTGTTAGCGTCGATGTTCTAGCACCTCGGAAGGTTTTTAGCTCGTAGGCTGAGTCGCTCGAAGACCTGTGATTTGGAGCTGACATGGTCGAAGCTCATTTGAAGTAACGGCCTGTATTTTTGTTATCGATGGTCGGGTGTCCCCGAGTCATTTTAATGTGACTGGAGCAGCCGTTTTGACCGTAGTCATATATGTTTTTTCGGAGCCAATTTTGATCCCGAGTGATAGTTTAGGCGTCTACACCGAGGGTATGTCCTTTCGGGATTCTTACAAATGCAACGTATAGCCTAAACTTCGGGATTGAGTTTTACGCATGTAGTAAGGTCTTACAAAATTTTCATGCCTGTTAAGGTCTTACAGTTTGTCATGCCTGTTGAGGTCTTACAGTTTGTCATGCATGTTGAGGTCTTACAGTTTGTCATGCCTATTGAGGACTTACAGTTTTTGTTGTTAGGTAAAATAGATCTGGTTATACCGAGTATGTGTCACGACCCAATTTAGGATCATGACTGGCGCTTAGGAGCTAGTGCTCCCAAGTAAGCCTCATCGAAAATTTTACAGAAAATCGGACAGAGTTTCTCCTGTTTTTGGACCATCCCAAAAACATTTCTGTCTCAAATCAGTAACCAAACATCCTAATAGCAATTCAAATGACAAGGACTTTATCAATTAACTAAAATAAATATCTACCTTTAACAGTCCACCCACTAACAACTAGAAATACTATTTTATCTCCAAATTTTTATAAGAATGAGCGTTACTCAACATAAGTCTATAATAACAAAGACTACTCAAGACACTAAAAGAATGACCATGGAGCGACTCTAAGAGTTCAAAGAAAAGACCATAACAATTGATAAAGTTTCCGCCCACGCGAACAAGTGCGAGGCTCACCAAGAATTCTCAACTTGTGCGCTCTAATTAACGAAATTCTCGCCCACATTAACTGCTGTCTATGAAAAAACAATTAGCAGGGAATGAGTCACTAGCTCAGTGAGTAATAACACTTAACCACAACCGTTTTTATTGGGGACAAGTCAGAAAACATGCTAATATCTCAAACAGATAACATCAAAATACCCTTTCAGAAACAATAAATAATTTTCAGTCTCATCATGCTTTTCTTGTACGATAATACAATTAACAGTTCAGTAATAAGCTCGGTGACCACTATATAATATCAATGTTCACATTTGGGAGGTTTCGATGAACAGATCATGTAATCGGTATAACTGTGGACTTCTTCGCAAGAAGTCAAATATAACGGTAGTCTTTATTCGAGGGAAGTCGGTAATGGTATGCTAGTTCTACCTTCCCACTAGCGAGGGCTATAACTGTAATATGTAATTACAAGGTGCACCAGGTCTAACGAACCCGCCGTTAGCTACGGGATCCTTCAATGTCGACTCCCATTTATACTTGTCTTTGTAATCCGTATATACTCGTAAAAAATCTTTTAAATCTATATAGGGCATTTCAGTTCTTATCAAATCATATAATTTCATTTCAATAACAGTAATTTCAAGTAATAGTAAAAAAGATCTAGTGACAACGGAAATATTTAAAACCACGGTAACCATCTCAAATAACTATTTCGGTATCATATAGAGTAAAAGACTTGTCCCACATGCAACTCAAAATAATCGGTAACATATTCATCTTAAAAATCATGTATAAATCATGCAAGTTATGAAAACATAAATTGCGGTAAGATTACTACTCACAGTACTCGTGCCGAAATACCAACTGCTTCACCTCAAGCAGCTCATACAAATTCCTCCAATCAATGTATAATTACATAATATCGATCTCATGTTAATTTTCTTATTTAGGCTAATTCATAGCTATTTTAGAATACCCAATCATCGGGGTTCATGTTTGAGTCTTACTTTGTGGATTTATATTTACCCACATATGAGTAATTACTAATTTATCAACTCCAACCTATTCATAAAATTTATTACTCCAAATTTCATAAAGTTCTATTGATTCTTTAGGAAGAAAATTCTCAATTGTGTGAATGAACTAGTGTAATTTCTATTACTTTGTAGAATCTTCCAATCAAGAGAATCGAAATTTAAAAATCTACCAGAAGAAGAAGTTCAAGTAATACCCGTAAAAGACAATTAGTGCTTAAGATTCCTCAACAGTTATAGCTATGGCTCCAACGCAGTGCACCCATTTCTTCCTCCTTCTTTTCTCTTTTCCTTATTTCTTTCTCTACTTTTGTTTTCTTTCTTTTTCTGTTTCTAGTTTCCTTCAGAAGACAAAGCATCTTTGCTTTTTAAACCCTTAACCTTGGCAGGTTAAAAAATCTAATGGGCTTCGGCCCTTTTTGTTTTCCATCCTTTCTTTTTTTTGTTTGTTTTATATTTTATTTGCTAATATCCAATATGTCCTTATTTAAAATATTGGGGCCCTACATCCTCCCCACCTTATGAAATTCGGCCCCCGAATTTAACTCAAGTACGTACCTGTAGACTGAAATAAGTGAGGATACTTGACTCGCATAGAATCTTCCACTTCCCACCTAGCTTCTTCAACCGTATGATTTCTCCATAAGACTTTCACGAACAATATTTCTTTTGACCGTAGTTTTCTTACTTGTCTATCAACAATAGCGATTGGCTCCTCCTCGTAAGACAACTTCTCATCAGGCGGTATAGCAGGTGATTCAAGCATCTGTGATGAGTCTGATATACATTTCCTTAGCATTGAGACATGAAAAACTGGATGAATAAAGGACAACTCAGGAGGAAGTACCAAACGATAAGCCACAGCTCCCACTTGGTCTAGTATCTCATACGATCCTATAAATCTAGGGCTCAACTTACCTCTTTTCCCAAACCGCATCACACCTTTCATAAGAGAGACTCGTAGGAATACTTTGTCTCCAATTGTGAACTCTAAATCTCTTCTTCTCTTATCAGCATAAAACTTTTGTCTGCTTTGAGCTGTAAGAAATCTCTGTCTGATCAACTGGACTTTGTCCATAGCTTCTTGTACTAAGTCAGGTCCCAATAAGTTAGTCTCACCAGCGTCAAACCATCCGATAGGAGAATGACATCTTCTACCATACAATGCTTCGTGCATTGCCATTTGAATATTGGACTGGAAGCTATTGTTGTAAGCAAATTCAGCTAACGGTAGATAAGTGTCCCAACTACCTCCAAACTCAAGAATGCAAGATCTCAGCATATCCTCTAAGATCTGAATAGTACGTTCAGACTGCCCGTCTGTCTGTGGATGAAATGCAGTACTAAGATCTACTCGTGTACCCAATGCTTCTTAAAAAGATTTCCAAAAGCGTGAAGTGAACTATGATCCTCTATCAGAGATGATGGATACTTGAACTCCGTGAAGTCGGACAATTTCGTTCATAAATATCTATGCATACCTGACTCCACCATATGTAGTCTTCACCAGCAAAAAGTGTGCTGATTTCGTCAGTCGATCTACAATCACCCATACGGAGTCATAACCTCTAAGGGTTCGTGGTATCCCGGTGACAAAATCCATAGTAATTCTTTCACATTTCCACTCTAGAATCTCAATTTGTTGTAGTAGTCCTGCGGGTCGCTGATGCTCAGCCTTGACCTGCCGGCAAGTGAAACAACTAGAAACAAAGTTAGAACATCTTTCTTCATACCTTCCCACCAATAAAATTGCTTCAGGTCATGATACATTTTTGTGGATCCAGGATGTATAGTGTATTTAGTGTTGTGAGCTTCTTTAAGAATAACATGTCTTAACCCATCTACGTCTGCTACACATAGCTTGTCACCCATTCGAAGAGCACCATCACTTTCAACAATCATATCCTTTCTTTTACCAGCTAAGGCCTCATCCCTGTATTTGCATAATCGTTCATCCTCATATTGGATGGCCTTAATGCACTCAACTAATGATGACTTAGCCTGAGCACAAGCCAACAATGCCTCTGAATTTCTGACACTAAATTTGATACCTGTATCTTCTAGTCTCTGAATATCTTTGGCCAAAAGTCTCTTTTGCAGGAGCTATGTGTTCCAGACTCCCTATAGATTTTCTGCTCAATGCATCAACCACCACATTGGCTTTTCCAGGATGATACAAAATAGAACAATCATAATCTTTGAGTAGTTCTATCCAATGACGATGTCGAAGATTCGAATCTCTCTGCTGAAAGATCTACTTCAAACTTTTATGGTCAATATAAATCTCACAAGTTTTGCCATATAAATAATGCCTCCAAATTTTTAGAGCAAATACTACATAAGCCATCTCCAAATCACGTGTAGGATAGTTTTTCTCGTGCTTTTTTAATTGTCTCGAAGCATATGCTATCACACGACCATTTTGCATGAGAACACATCCTAATCCCACCCTCGAGGCACCACAAAATATTGTAAATCCTCCAAATCCTGATGGTAAGGCTAATATTGGTGCAGTTGTCAAACATGTTTTGAGTTTTTGAAAGCTCTGCTCACATTCCTCCGTGCACTGAAACTTTGCATTTTTATGTGTTAGCTTGGTCAGCGGCGCTGCTATTCTGGAGAAATCCTGCACAAAAAGCCTGTAATAGCCTGCTAAGTCTAAAAAGCTGCGAATCTATGTAGGAGAAGTAGGTCTGGGCCATTTATGCACAACTTCAGTGTTCTTAGGATCTACCATAATTCCATCTTTGAATACAACATGCCCCAAAAATGCTACCGAGTCTAGCCAGAATTCACACTTCGAGAACTTAGCATAAAGCCAATGTTCTCACAATGTCTGCAACACAGTCCTGAGATAATTCTCGTGTTCTCCTTGGATACGAGAATATATTAGGATATCATCAATAAATACTATTACAAATCTATCCAGAAACTGCTTGAACACCCTATTCATTAAATCCATGAATGTAGCTGGAGCATTTTTCATTCCGAAAGGAATCACAAGGAACTCATAGTGCCCGTATCGAGTTCTGAAAGCAGTCTTAGAAATATCTTCATCTTTGATTCTAAGTTGATGATAACCAGAATGGAGGTCAATCTTTGAAAAGTGGGCAGCTCCTTGTAACTGATCAAACATGTCATCTATACGAGGTAAAGGATATTTATTGCATATTGTTATCTTGTTCAACTGCCTGTAGTCAATGCGCATTCTCAAGGATCCGTATTTCTTCTTTACAAACAGTACTGGTGCACCCCATGGTGATACACTAGGTCTAATAAAACCCTTATCTAACAAATCATGTAACTGTTTCTTTAGCTCCCTCAACTCTGCCGGTGCCACTCGATATGGGGGTATCGATATAGGTTGTGTATCAGGTAGCAAATCAATACTAAAGTCTATCTCTCGTGCTGGAGGCATCCTGGTAAATCCTCAGGAAATACATCAGAAAATTCTCTCACTATTAGTAAATTTTCTATACTAACTGTTTCCTTTCTTGTATCATTTACAATAGCTAAGAGACCCAAGCAACCTTTCTTTAGAAGTCGTTGATCCTTCATAAAAGATACAATTTTGCAAGTCTCTGGAACTTGACTCCCTCTTAGAATAAAACTGGGTTCATTTGGTATCTCAAACTTAACTATCTTTGCATGACAATCGACTATAGCATAGCAAGAAGATAACCAATCCATTTCCATCAGCATGTCAAAGTCAATCATGTCAAGTACAATAAGGTCAGCTAGAGTATCCCTACCCTCAACCCAAATTGACAAGCACGATACCCGTATTCAGCTAACAAAGACTCTCCAACAGGAGTAGCAACTAGAAAAGGATCATTCAATAGCTCGAGCTGTCTACTAAATCTCAAAGTAAAGTACAAGGACATATAGGAGTGAGTAGATCCCGGATCGATCAACACAAGTGCATCAAATGAACAGACAGAAAGAATACATGTAACCATTGCATTCGAGGCCTGAGCATCCTGTCTAGTAAAAGCAAAAACTCTCGCCTGACCTCTACCAGCATTGCCTTATCCTTGATTCATAGTAGCACGGTCTCTAGTACCTCGACCTCTATTTCCTGTACCTGTAGCACCTGAAGTATTACGAGTAGTCTGAGTCGGTGCAGCTCACTGAATAGAAGCCTGGTTGAAATTTCTCGAAGGCTGAGGGCAATCCCTCAAGTTATATCCCAATTGGCCACACCGAAAGGACTCTCCAGTTAGAACATGACATTAGCCCAAATGTCATCTACCACAAGTCTAGCAGGCTGGAGTAGTGGCATATATCTGCCCAGAATTATGATGTCCAGAAGATGATGGTCCCCTATTACCTTGTCTGTAATGTGGTCTATATGTGAACTGTGAATACATGTGTCTCCCTATCTGAGAACCTTGTTGTTGTTGTTGTCCCTGATTTCCTGCTTTTCTATTTTCACTAAAATCACCACTAAAAGCCCCTCCTGTCTTGGCTTTCTTACGTAAATCACTAGCTGCACGCTCCTCACGTCCCTTGTTTTCAATCTTTCTAGCAAGGTCGACTACATCAGAGTAGGATAAATTCTTCATCTATAGGGCTACTGCAGTGTATAGACGACAAACCAATCCATCAACAAACCTCTAAACTCGAGATTCTTCGGTAGGCACTAAGTGAGGAGCATATATAGCCAACTTACAGAACTTAGTGTTATATGTTGACACATCCATATCTAGAGTCTGAACCAATCTCTCAAAGTCTCTAGCATATTGTCGCATCAGACTATCTGGAAGAAAATGACTCTTGAACAACTTAGTGAACTCATCCCATGTCAGTGGTGGTGCTCCTGCTGGCCTTCCTAGCAATACCGTTTCATACCATGTGTTGGCCATATCTTCTAGTTTGTATGTTGCGAGATCCACGGCTCTCTCACTAGAATAATGCCTTGAGTGTTCCATCCAAGAAACCTTGAGGATCTTCTGAGTTATCGGAACATGTAAATTTTGGTGATTTCAATTTCAGGAACTCGTGTAGGGATTCTTCTTTATTCCCGAAAGGCTGAGTCTGTGTAGGTGTTTGTGTCTATAAATTAGCCTGAGGAGCTGAACTTTCGCCCTGAGTAGGAACCAATGCCTCTAACATATTCAATAACCTTGCCACTGCATTTGTAGGTAAGGCAACAATAGGTACAACAGTTGGCACTGGTGGTGGAGCGTTCTGAACTCCCTGCTCTTGCACTTGATCTGGCATAACAACTTGGGTTTGACCCATGTTCCCAACTTGAGGTTGAGGAGCAGTCTGTCTTATAGTTTGATGAACCCCAACTTGACCGCCACCACGGGTAGCACCACGTCCAACATATGAGGGTGTGCGTGTCCTAGCCATCTGCGAAAGAAATATTCCAAAGTCAATCTCAAGTTATCTCAACGCACGATCAAAGAATGAAAGAAGGGAAAACATTCATAAATGTTCAGTAGCCTCGAGATCATAAGTATGGGCGCCTATATACCCATGAACAAGACTCTACTAAACATTGCTCCATCACTTGGGACTTAAAGCCTAAGCTCTGATACCAACTTTCTCACGACCCAATTTAGGATCGTGACCGGTGCTTAGGAGCTAGTGCTCCCAAGTAAGCCTCATCGGAAATTTTACAGAAAATCGGACAGAGTTTCCCCTGTTTTTATACCATACCAAAAATTTTTCTGTCTCAGATCATCAACCAAACATCCTAATAGAAATTCAAATGACAAGGACTATATCAATTAACTAAAATAAATATCTACCTTTAACAGTCCACCCACTAACAACTAGACATACTACTTTATCTCCAAATTTTTATAAGAATGAGCGTTACTCAACATAAGTCTATAATAACAAAGACTACTCAAGACACTAAAAGAATGAACATGGAGTGACTCTAAGAGTTCAAAGAAAAGACCATAACAATTGATAAAGTTTCCGCCCACGCGAACAAGTGCGAGGCTCAACAAGAATTCTCAACCTGTGCGCTCTAATTAACAAAGTCCTCACCCGCATCAACCGCTGTCTCGGAAAAACAATTAGCGGGGAATGAGTCGCTCGCTCAGTGAGTAATAACACTTAACCACAACCATTTTTATTGGCGACAAGTCAAAAAACATGCTAATATCTCAAACAGATAACATCAAAATGCCCTTTCAGAAACAATAAATAATTTTCAGTCTCATCATGCTTTTCTTGTACGATAATACAATTAACAGTTCAGTAATAAGTTTGATAACCACTGTATAATATTAATATTCATATTTGGGAGGTTTCAATGAACGGATCATGTAATCAGTATAACTGTGGACTTCTATGCAAGAAGTCAAATATAACGGTAGTCCCTACTCGAGGGAAGTCGGCAACGGTATGCTAGTTCTACCTTCCCACTAGCGAGGGCTATAATTGTAATCTATAAGTACAAGGTGCACCAGGTCTAACGAACCCGCCATTAGCTACAGGATCCTTCAATGTCTACTCCTATTTATAATTGTCTCTGTAATCCGTATATACTCGTAGAAAATCTTTTAAATCTATATAGGGCATTTCAGTTCTTATCAAATCATATAATTTTATTTCGATAATAGTAATTTCAAGTAACAATAA